GATCCTGTAAATCTGCCAACTCAATCTTTATTTCAGAAATACTCTTTTGAACCTTACCTATCTCGAGTGTTATTTGTAGTCATGTCATTAGCTTTGCTGGCTACCTGAGCGATATCTGCTATTTGCCGTGACATTTCCTTAAATTGTTTATTCATTTGCTCAGACATACCTGCCAAGTCTTTAGATACTCCCACTGTATGTTTGTCCCATTCTGTCTTCAGTTCTTTTTTAAGTTGTTTTATTAATTGTCCAATTACCTCCATATCAGACGTCTGTTCTTGCCTGTGGGCAGTGCTTTCATCCTCCATTACTACTTCATTGCTGGGAAGGGGTGCCTCCTCAATCTCCTTTGGGTCTTCCAAATAAGCTTTGACCCCCTTTCCTTTGTGCAGAGTCTCCTTCCTTAACATCCTGCTTAACTTATTAAATATCTTATCAGATAGTAAATTAGGGTAAACTGGCTATATTAAATAGCTGGATCAGGGGAACAGCAAAAAGCTCACCACATCATCCTTGTCAGTGGCTAGCCATGCCCCCCAATCTCCTGGCTTTGTTGAAGGTTATTTTATGAAGTTCAGATGCTTTGTGCTTTTATTTTATATTATGTATTTTATTTGTTTTATCTATTTTATTGTAGGCCACCCAGAGTCACTGCTGAGATGGGCAGCTATATAAATCAAATAAATAAATAAATTGTACTCATATCCTGCTTGTGGTGTGGGTTTCCCAGAACATGTGACCCAGTGTTGGAAGCAGGATGCTAGCTTAAATAGGCCTTTGCTCTGATCCAGGAGAGCTTTATATAGATACTTATGACATACCTTCTAGGTCGATGCCATGTCTCTGAGCCAAGTGCAGCACATCATCCCCAACTTTGCCTTGCACTGGGATTTTTTGCCCAGAACGGTCTATGAACACTACATTGACTCTGAGACAGAAGAAAGAACATGGAAATGCTCTCAATTCAGGACCCTCCAGTATGTGTCATATGCTCAAATGCTACGAGCACAACTAAATGTTTTCTGGCAATTTCTGCCTTTATGTAGAATTGCAAGCAACATTTAAAATAGCCTTGCCTATCCTGACTCCCCCTATGCTGGATGAGAATCCTAACATACATGGGGAACATATGGGGATGGTTATTCTAATAGCTGACACAGATTTTTAATCTGAAACAAAAGACACCAATGATAAGAGTGCTTTACATGACATGCTAAACTAGATTACTTTTAGATCTGGCATGCTATATGAACCACTAACTTGGATCAAACTATGATTAAGATAAAATACCATAACTTTCATCCTAGGTTGATTTAGATTTGTAGGTGACTTTGTAGGGCCAAGTTAAAGTCCCTAATCCAAATAGATCTTCCCAGAGAAAACAAAGCATAGGCTCAGCTATATAGGTTCAAACTGGGCAACTACCTCATTACAAAAACACTTTCCCAGGAAAACTGCACTGTCTGCTTAGCCATAGAACTTTTAAGAACATTAATTTGTGAAAGGATACTGGGAGGTTGAGCAGAGCTCAGGGAAAGCAAACAAAAATAATTCCCTAGAAAGAAACTCTGTTCATGGAATGCCTCTTTGTTCTTTCAAAACCCCATTGTCTTTGTAGTCTTGACCCATTACCTCATAATCACACACTAATGGCCTCAAACCTAGTTATTATACAATGTGGTATACCCAGTTGCTCTATCCAATGGCATGTATATTCTAATTTGCATAAGTCAATACAGAGGGGCTGTAACCCCACCCCTCAAGCCTCTGTTTGCTGCCACCATTGTCATTAAACCAATTTATGCTTCCATGTTATGTGTCCTGGTCTCCGGTTCAAATATATCCCTAAAATAATCTTCTATGGGCTAACTTTTCTGAACTTAGCTTCCATATCAGCCAGACCCAGAAGGGAGCGGTACTTGAAGTTATTTGTTTCTTCTAACAGAAAACAAAATGTCAAGAAATTGGAGTGGCAACAAAATGGGCCCACTTCAGTTGCTCCACTTCTTCTTCCTCTACTTTCACCATCTATGTGCACGTGCATCCTAATACTCACACTTCTGCTGTACAGCTCTCATCTTCAGTCTGAAAAGCCACTGGAAAAGCAACAACAAAATTCCATTATTAATTAGGAAAGTGCAAATCCTTCAATGCCACCTTCCATCCCTGCCCTTGGTGGTGAGGCTGATGAAGGACCTGCAATCAAGGAGGACAGATCTTCAACAGGAATCTTACCCAACCATATTTTGATAATACATACTAGATCCACCTCTTCATCACCCTCTAAGTCAAGGATGACCAAGGCCTTATTACAAACAGGCCTGGTGTTTACTACTTGCATTATTTTATGTATCCTATGCCATCTAACAGTAAGTCTTAGCTTCATGGGATCATCTGACAAAATTTTGTAACACAAAATACAGAAAGGGCTAGGACAAATGGGTCTTCAGCCTAATGAAGTCTCATTTTTAGATAACCATCACTGTATATTTGCACCTTCGTTTTAGGGTTGTTCGTGCAAGATCACAGTGCTGCTTAGCACAGAACATCTGGACTCACAGTCAGTAATTGTACTGAAGACCTGTTCGCTATTGTCAGTTTTCTGAATTTTTAATACTCAGGTGCAATATTATCACTTGTGCACTTCAGTGAAGCAGTTTTCAACAAGATTTATTTTCACAACTAACAACAATCCAGCATAATAAAATGACAGTAGAAATATTTTCAACAAATACTAAGAAATGCTTCTATAAGCCAGAAAGAATACAAACAACTGGCCTACCACTCTGCACTCCTTCCCCAAACTTTTTTTTACAAACTCTTAAGAGTGATACTCAGGCTCCAGTGGCAACAAGCAAATCAAGAAAGGCTGCTCGATGGCTCTCCCATACTGTGTTGGTGGTTTGGTGTCTTGCAAATACTCCACAGCTTAGTCTGTTGGAAGATGCAATTTGCTATTCTGGAGAATTTAACTGTTGCCTTACCAGATACTCAAAATACCTGCTTTTCTACTATTATCCTAGCAAGACTAAAAATTCACTGTGGAAGAACAGCTTTTGTGCTGCCTGCGGGAAAAAATTTATATTTTGAAACATGAAAAAAAAGTTCATGAAAATGCAAGATTTAAACTAGAATCTCTGAGCAAATACTGAAGTACTTGGTTTATTTAAAGAGTATCTCTAAAGAGCCCAAGACGGAAGCAAGAAACTAGTTTAGCACTTGCCTGGGTTAAACTGATATCTGACAACCCTATTTGCTCAGTACTTCAGCATTTTGAGGGTAATAAATAATGCTGACCTCTCACAGAACTACTGTAAAAATGAATATATGATTAAGATGTCACTGGACACGTTTGTGAGCAAATAGATAACTGTTAAAGAAACTCACATAGGGTCTGCTTATCCTTTCAGGGAACATAAGGTATAATCACTGTTTCGGGTAATATATAGTGACTGGTTTCATATATTATCTTAAGCCATGACTTATGTATAACTGAATAAGCCACACAGATTAGGTTTACATATCACATTATGCCATAAGTTAACTATATTTTTAAACTATATTTTTAAATTGCTGTTTTTAACCTATAAAGCCCTTTATGGCTTGGCACCAGGTTATCTACAGGACTGGATCTCCCCATTAGAGTTGGCCTGATAATTTTCATCATGCCAAGAAAACCAGATGGTTGTTCCCCATTTTGGGGAAGTCGGGGGGTCAAAGCTCAGAAGTGTTATTTTTCAGTGATGGGGTTGGCCCTTTGGAATGGCGTCCTGTGGAAGACAGATTTATCTCCACCATTAGCTGTCTACTGGTAAATGTTGAAAATAAAGCTTTTCCTGAGGGTTTTTGGGATCTGACACCATGTATTGTTTGGGGAGTTTCAACAATATTTATAAGATGTTCTTATATATTATTGTTTTTTTGCCTTTGTGAATTGCTGAGAGTCTTTTGTGATTATGGTGGAACATAATTTTGATTAATAAAACATATTTTTACTGAAGAAACCAGAATTGCTTGGATTTACTTGTAATTCTAAACCATAAACCATGTTTTAAACACACCAAACACCCCCTCCCCCCAAATTAAGGCTAATTTGATTATGTTAATCCAATGGCTGGGTTCAAAATGCATGATTTATAGACAACAATGGCTGGATTCACACAATACACTAGAATTAAACCAAGCATGCCCATTATGGCCTAGTGAACCTAGTCAATGGACAGAATCGCATAATATGGTTAATTAAAATGCCATGAACCACAGGTGCATAACTATAGTAATACCTCGGTTCATGAACGCTTCTGTTCATGAACAATTTGGTTCACGAACAGCAGCATTCGCAAAATTTTGCTTCTGTTCGTGAACTCCGCATTGGGTGACGAACACGACCCGCGGTCATCTTCCCTGCTCTGACATGTGGTTGTGGCTTCCTCTAGGCGAGATCGCGGTCGCAGACAGACACTTGCTGTGAAGCTTTTTGGTG